TAAGTCTTCCTGTATTTGAATGTAAAAGTGCTAAATTCGCTTCGTCGTGAACAGTTTCAAATGCTTTCACGCCCGCTTCTAAATGAGTCAACGATCGAGTAAGCAATGCTGATACTCCATGTGAAGAACTTGATGTTTCTTCTACCAAATTTTCTTGTTGATATCGTGCTGTAAAGATAGCATATTTTTTTATATTTATAACATACATTTTTCCTAGAAAAAGGAATTGAATAAAAATTCTTACTTCCAGCTTGATTCATGTAAAGCACACCTAATTCATTATGAATGTTTCCTAATCGTCTTAGAAGATTATTTTTATCCATATCCAATGGTTCTAGAGATAACGCTTTTTCGTAACATTTATAAGATGCTACTAAAGTAGATTCTAAACTTTCTAGTCGTTGTGGTAGTAATTCAGCACCATCTACAATTCAAAATATTTAAAATAAGTAATAAGTTGTATGAAAATATTTTTTATATATATATATATATATTTTTTTTTTTTTTACCTATATACATACTCGAATCCAAATCTTCTATTCTACATATATCTTCGACAATTCTTTCTTCAATTTCACTTTTTATTTCATAATCTTTTCTATGTTTCTCGACGTTACACCAATCTTGCACAGCCATAAAACAACAATCTCCTGCGCGTCCTAACAGATAGCTTATAGATTTATCATTTCGTATATCACAAAATATCTCCAATATTTTTTGGCATCTTAAAACGGCTAACATATATCTCAGAGACGCGCCGTAATTTCTATTGGCATATTCATTTTCAGCGAGCACGGCAAAAATTAATGAAGCTTTTTCATACAATAATGTTTTTAAATGAATATTCCAACTAACATTATCGCTTTTTTTGGGCGCTTGCCATGTAGGTAAAGTTTCAACTTTAAGCTTACATAGCAATGCTTTTGCTTCATTCTCATGAGGTTCCATTTTTGCAATGACTTTCTCAAGTTTCTTTACTTTCTTCTGTTTTGATTTTTTTTTATGAATAGGACTGTTATTTATCGAACTCACTTCAGATTCAATTTCTTTTTTATCTTCTTTCAACGAGATATAAGGCATTGGAATGGCCTGAAAAGGTTTAGCCATATTCAAATGATTCTCTTCATATACTCTTTTCTTTTGTTCCTTTTCCTCTTCTTCCTTACGTTCTTCTTCTGAATTATCATCAATTGGAAAATACTGTAAACATTCGAGTCCGTGACAAACGTGATCTAAAGCGGCTAAACATCTTTCTTCGATAGTACCCGAAATTGGTGGCGGCTTATACTTAGGTTCTTCGCATTCCGCATGTTCTTTGACTAAAAAAAAAATTTATTTTGTAATTTACTTATTCATATATATAAAAAAAATATATAAGATTAAACTTACTATTAGCCAATGTTAAAGACTTAAATGCAGCTTCTTCAAATTCCTCTTCCAAATCTTTTTCATTCTCATGATTAATACTAGATTCACTTTGCGTATCTTCTTCATCACTCTGATCTGACAAACCTGGACTAGCAGGGTCTGTATCAGATGGTATATAAAGATCAGATAACATAAAATGTGCAGATGTTACAATCTGTGGGTACTTTTCTTTAGTCAATAATTGTATGCAATTTTTCAATAACATTCTAATAGTACCCTGTTGCCTATGATAATCAGAGGAATATTTCATATTACGAGCTACTCTATACAATAACATAGCAACAGGTACAGTGAATGGATTTTGGCCCTTTTCATCTGATAAATCATGACACAGAGAAGTTAAATCATATAATTTTACTACATCATCATCCTTCCCTTTGAATAACCAATACGTATGTCCAGCTTTAGTTGCATTATTTTTTAAGAAACTTAAGATATTTTGTGCGACATCTCTGATAACTTTAGGACTGAATTTAGAATGATCCAAATTGGGAAGATCTTCTGTTTTAATTAGTTCATACTTTTGCACAATACCATTCAAGTGATAACACATAACCACTTCTGGTACATTACACATCAAATTATCTAACCAATAATCTATACCGGTTAAAACATTAATGGGTTTAGTCATATCTCTCAATCTAAGGCTTATACACGGATGAGTTTGCCCTCCAAATATCGGCATATCAGTACCAATAAGCATCTGTATATTCTCAAAAGTCCAGACTATATTTCTTGCAAAATTATGATTATAATTTGGATCCGGTACTTTTTCTTCTTGAGAAGGTTCTGGCAAACAAGGTTCTAAAGTTTTCACAGGTAATTGTGGTTTGGTATGTTGTTCTTTGTTATCTGCCACTACTATTGAGTGATATAAAAACTTAGATACCAAGTTTTTTTGCTGCAAAGTATTTCTATTGTTTGTCTTATGAAACAAACATTTTTCTTTATCTCCTAGATTCTGAAAAATATGCTCATAAAAAAATTTCTTTAACCATTCCCAATCACTCTCTGCTTGTCTAAGCAAATACTTATGAATGTCAAAATCATCTAACAATAATGTATTTTCTATTCTGTGAACCACCATTGATATGACTCCATGATTGTAAGGCAATTTTAACAATTTTTTTATGTTTTCTGCATCTGACACAACATCAACTTCCCCTACACAATCAGGGAACATATGTGCCATACGAAAACTAGAAAAACCAGAGGTTTGAGACCAAACACTTTGCAGGCCATAACTCTCTGCAGAACTGCTGAGCCAATTACTTGGTGGTAAATTTAAATCTGTGTTGCATTGTAACTGAGCATAAGTCGCAGGCGTTTGAACGGCCGAATATTTTACAACGGCGGTAGACTTGACCGGTTTCTTGGATGAATCAGATGGTATAGCCAGAGGCATAGGATTGACCTAAAATTGTACGTAACATCAAAAATATCATATTACGTTTATATTTAACATATTTATTACGATTTTCATTCTACAGTGAATAAAATTAGTAATACATTCAATATATTATTTGCGAACAGTAGCACGATGAAGTACTCCTAATATAAAGTAAAAAACGATTCTCGATAAAATAACGGTATTAAAATAAGGTATTTCACATCAGTGATCGAAAAGAGCATTACTTACAATATCATATTTGGTATCCGTACTTTCTGACATATTTAATTTCGAATGATGTCACTCGCGTCTCTCAAAACTTGTCGTTATGTTCCAAAATTTCTAGAAGGAACCAGAGTGTATCGAAATCTCAACCACTCACATAACGCATAACCACTGATTATGTGATATACGGAGGAAGGTTGCAACATTTACAAACAGTTTCCTACAATAACAATTTAATTCTGCATTATCACTTGAAAAAAATATCGAAATTTTTCAATACAGATGAAAATATAATAAAGAATAAGCTTAATGATTTTTAACAAACGTTTTTCAACGAATTTTTTACTCTCATTAATCTCGGGAATATTAGGATTCCTTTAATTTCATTCATGGTGTGAGACAAGGAAAGCAAATAGTGGAAGAAGGACAGAGATAGGGTAAAAATATTGAATTCAACGCCATCTCTAGAGTGCCGCAAATGAAACATAATAACAAAGGACAAAGAATAGCGGAAGAAGGACAGAGATAGAATAAGAATTGATCATCAGCGCCATCTCTCGAATATCAAAGTTACTTTTCCTTAATGGGAAGATAAAGTAGAGTAAGAATTAAACATCAGAGCCATCTCTCGAATATCAAAGTTACTTTTCCTCAATGGGAAGATAAAGTAGAGTAAGAATTAAAGATCAGCGCCATCTCTCGAATATCAAAGTTACTTTTCCTCAATGGGAAGATAAAGTAGAATAAGAATTAAAGATCAGCGCCATCTCTCGAATATCAAAGTTACTTTTCCTCAATGGGAAGATAAAGTAGAGTAAGAATTAAAGATCAGCGCCATCTAGTAGTATTTTTAGAAATTTTTAGAAATATAATTTCTTATAGAGATTCCCTTAATTCTCAAGAGATGGCGTTGTTAATCAATTCTTATTCTATCTCTGTCCTTCTCTTATTATTTTCTGTCCTTCCTTTTTGTGTTTCGTTTACGGCACACTGAAGATGGCGCTGATTTCAATATTTTTCTCCTATCTCTGTCCTTCTTCCACTATTTGCTCTCCTTGTCTATATTAACTCGGTGCGTGACCACAGACGAAGTACGAAGACGAGATGTCAATCGAATACGCTTTCATCATTTTCTCTTTCAAAACTATGTATCTTGTATCTTGATCTCTAATGTAAAAATGACATAATAGTTATTATATTCTCAGCTTTATAATGCATCTCTGAGACAATAACCTCGCAAAGCATAATACGTATCTTGATATATGACGCAAGTGTTTTGACGCGAAGCACTGCTCGACAGCGGTGGGATTTAAGCACATGAAAACTTAAACAACAAAGAAAACAGCAAGAAATTTTAAAACATTTTATCGAAAGAAAAAAAAATATTATAAAAGATATATTTATATATTCTTTCGCTATTTACCGAGTGGAATCAATAACATTGGAAATAATTATTTAATTTAATTATTCAACGATTTCTCAAGAGATATAAAAAACGAAGAAATAAAAAAAAAAAAAAAAAGACATACGAAAAATTAAAACCAAAGGAAAAAGCGATCAAAGATAAACTTCGTAAATAATCGTAAACCTCGTAATCTCGTCATCATAAGTCGCTTATATCGTAACAGTTGTTTCTTATTTCCACAGCTCGCTGTGGGAAAGGATCGAAGCAGCAAGAAGCATAATAGAAATAGATTATAACGACAAAACGAAGCCCGCGAAGAGCCGATCTTCGATTCAGTCGAAAGTGTAGCGTGTTCACCGGTGTTCGATGAAGAAACAAAGTATATTATCTCTATCCTACCGGTTTGGAATAATAGCGCGAAAAAGGTTAGGAGCGACGCGAGCAAAAAGAGCCGATTTATCCGCAACGTTGAACGGATTATGAAGCCCTGAAAGAACTTGACGTCACTGGTACCGCGTTTATATATAAGATGGGGATCGCCACCCTCAGAATCCAGTCAACGACGGGAGGTGATCTTGGTCGCAGGCATGGTGGTGAATTTCAAGGTGTACAAGAAATGCTCGCCGAACGGCAAAATCTCTCTGTACCTGGGCAAGAGGGATTACATCGACTATCTCTCCGGTATCGAGCCGGTCGATGGAGTGATACTTCTCGATCAAGATTACGTGGACACAGGTAGGAAGATATGGGGCCAGTTAATTTGCAGCTTTCGTTACGGCCGGGAGGAGGACGAGGTGATGGGCCTTAACTTCCAAAAGGATCTCTACTTGATCTCGGAGCAACTGTTCCCAGCGACCGGGAAGAAACGGGAGGAGAATCTGACCAAGCTTCAGGATCGTCTGTTGCAAAAGCTAGGACCAAACGCGATTCCGTTCACCTTCAAGTTCTCTCAATCCGCTCCGTCGAGCGTCACTCTGCAACAAGGCGAGGACGAGACGGGCGAGCCTTGCGGAGTGAACTACTACGTGAAGATCTATTGCGGAGAGACGGAGACCGACGTCACTCACAAGAGGAGCACCGTAATCATGGGTATAAGGAAGATCCAGTACGCGCCCACGAAGCAAGGCCGGCAGCCTTGCACCGTGGTGCGAAAGGACTTCTTGCTGAGCCCCGGCGACCTGGAGCTCGAGGTCACGTTGGACAAACAGCTGTACCATCACGGGGAGAGGATAGCCGTGAACGTGTGCGTGAGGAACAGCAGCAACAAGGTGGTGAAGAAGATCAAGGCGTTGGTCCAGCAGGGTATCGACGTGGTCATCTTCCAAAACGGCCAATTCAGAACTGTGATCGACGCGGTGGAGACTCAGGACGGTTGCCCCATCAATCCTGGCTCGAACCTGACCAAGGTTCTTTACCTGAAACCGGAGCTGGAGAACAACAAGCATCGAAGGGGCATCGCGTTGGACGGTCGGTTGAAGAGAGAGGAGAGCGAATTGGCATCCAGCACTCTGCTTCTCTCGCCGGATATACGCGAATCCTTCGGCATCGTGGTCTCTTACGCCGTCAAGGTGAAGCTGTACTTGGGCGCGCTGAGCGGGGAATTGTCCGCCGAGCTGCCGTTCATCCTGATGCGGCCGAAACCCGTCGACCGGATCAAGGTGGCGAACGAGGAGGTGGAGAACGTGAAGGAGGTGGAAAACGCGAAGCCGATCGCCAGCTAGAGAGCAGGCATCGAACGATAGCTCTCTGGCTAACAACTCTCTTCCATCTCCATCTGACTTTCCTCGTACGAACGAAATGATATCGATACAAGGAATGAGATCCTCCTATTCGTATCGCGTTTTCGAAAATTCAAAATATTTTTCCATATATATAAATATATACACGACGTTGAATATGTATTTGAATATTTAAAAAAAAATAAAAAAAACTAATTATTGTAAGTCATAAATTATTCGCTGTAATGGAATCGGGGAAATATATTGGAAAATTGATGAGAATTTTTTTTTATTGAAGATTCGACGATGATATTCGAATCGATGATTTAAAGGGATCTTGGCAACGGGGCAAGCGTTGAAGCGAATGGTCCAGAGTATACTCGAAGTGGGTTAACGATTCTAGGAATCTGATGCTATCGATCATCGTTGCTAGCCTAGATGAAAGTGAATCGTCCCAAGTAATCGAAACACATTTCACGCAAAATGTGTGTACGCGTATCACCCGTTCAGCAACAACGATACGTTCGTGGATCAAGCGTAATTGTGGAACTCCACAGGAATAAATCACACGTATATTGCGATAAAACCACCATTTTCGTCCCCCTCCCTCTCTCTCTCTCTCTCTCTCGACTCGACCATTAAAGCGAATCACGTTGCGTAAGACTCTCTTTTAAATCGCGCAACTGACTTTCAGATTTAACTATTTTCCAAATAAAAACACATCGTTAAATACACGTCTCCGGCAAGAAGTAATTATGCCATCGAGTAATGGCGTCGGGCAGAGATCTCGTACACTCCACCGATGCAACGAAATGTAGCACACATCACAAGTTATTCTCATTACCTTCTCTATTTTACTAAATTTTATCTATCAAGTATTCTCTTTTCTCGATACGTATATAATATAAAAGATTAATCGTTTCAATAAAGAAAAAAAGATTTCTTACGATATTTCAAAATTGTCGATCACATGGGAGGATAAATAACAAATAAAATAAAAAGTAGTAATTTCTCTTCCAATTATGATACTCCATCGTAAAGTGTATTTCTCTGAAAGTTTTTAAATTCTATCGTCTATGGAACCGTCTATGTGCTACGATATATATATATATTCGCCGCTGAGCGAAACGGCGAAGATAAAAGCGGAGGAGAAAGCACGGCGAATTTTAAAGTTTACCACGATCGACCAACTTCTGGCGAGAATGGTTAAGTCACGTTGCAAAGAAGTTTTTCATCTCTTCCGCGTTTCCTTTCTCCCTCGTCTCGGGACGAGGAGACGACGCGCGCGACTCCTCGACTCCGCGATATCGGCGAACAAAAGCGGGCTGACGCTCTATCTCTGGACGCGTGTCCCTCCTCGATTAATCAACCTGCTTCGAACGCCAGATAAACGTCTTTCTTTCGCGCGATAATCGGCGAATCCAATGCATATCCCAACCAACTTCTATGGGAACGCGTGTAAACGTAACTCGTGATCAACAAGTACTCGATCGATTTCGTGGCGTGAAATCAGCATGGCGCAATGAATTGTGTGCCGATAAATATACAAGTGCGGAACAAGATCGATCGATGGTGGATTGGTAGGTGTGTGTAATCGGTTGCGCAATCAGTTTCCCCGGGACGGATCAGTTTCCCGGGGAAAAAGTGGCGGAGGACAAGGTCGGCTATTCTCGATGACGCAACTAGATTTGGCCTGGAAAAGTAATACTACTGGTTCTACCGTCTTCTGCGCCTTTGAGACGCGATCAATTCGGGAACGGTCGAAGAATTATCCGCAATTTCGGTTGAGGGGAGAGAGAGAGAGAGAGAAAGAGAGCGAGAGAGGGAGAGAGAGAGAGAGAGGCGAAGGAGAACAAAGGTGGCGTATGGAGAGAGGAAAAAAAAAAGAAAACAAAAATTGAAAGAGGACGGCGGTGGAAGAAGGGGGCCTCCTAGTTTCATTGGAAGGCCGCAGGTATATCTGGCTGCGACAAATCGAAAGGCACGAGTCCACGATCCTACGATTCTCGCGAAGGAGAAGGTCCTGGCGAAGGGCATGGAACGCCGTCTCGCCGATGCCACCCTGTGTATAGGTGCAGTGGTGGGCGTTGGAGGAGCAGCAGCGGCGGCGGCGGCAGCAGCAGCACCAGCTATCGTGAGAAGGAACGTGGACTGAAACGAAGGTGGGAGGAAAAGAGACGGGTCTATTCGAGACAGAGGTTATGGTGGGAGGGTATCGCGGTGGGGGGAGGCGGATAGGAGATAAAATTAGAAAGAGAGGTCAGAAAAATAACGAGAGACGATGAAAAGGGGAGAGTGAAAATCGAAGAAGAACGAAACGGACAGGGAGATAGGGTGAGAGAGAAGAGAGAGGTAGGAGAAGAAACGTGGAGAGATCAGAGAGAAAAACAGAGAGAGAGAGGGGCCAGGCACGAAGCATCGAGAGATCGAAGGAAGAACGAGGAGACGCTTGGAGAGACGAGCAGACGAGGCGCTAGAGGGAGAGAGAGAGACGGAGAGAGAACGAGTGGGTAGGGAGGGGATACGGTCGGGCGGCAGGCTTGGTTGGTGCGTCAGTCAGGCTCGAGACACCCGCGAGAACGGAGCGGTGGTTGCCTCCCTTATTCGGTACGTACGTTCAATGCGTCCCCTCCATCACCCCCTGCCCACCTAACAAGAGTCTCGACTATCGAGGCAGTGTCGCGCAGAGTGTCGTACGAGGCGTATTGCTCCGCCTATCCATAACCCCTTCGTTATATCGGTGTTCCTTTTTATACATATATAATATATCTGCAACCCTCGTGTTTCGATTTGTGCCGCGTTCGAACGAACCGACCTCGGTGAACTTATTAGACCGGCCAACGATCGAAACGATCGTAGAGAGAAAGGAGAAGGCGGAGAAGGAGAAGGAGGAGGAGGAGGAGGAGGAAAAAGAAGAGGAGGAGGAGGAGAAGGAGGAGAAAGAAGAAGAAGAAGCTTCCATAGGAGTTTCTGCCGATTACACAAGGCGAATCCCTTAAAAAGAACGAAGACAGTGGCGGATACGCTACGCTAGCGGTCGAGTGAGTATACATCGAAGAGCCTTGACTCTGCCCTCTTCTCTTTCTTCATCGCTTTGCCCCTGCCCTCTCTCTCGCTCTCTCTCTCTCTCTCTCTCTCTCTCTCTCTCTCTCTCTCTAATCTTGTTTTTCTTTCTCATCGGTTTTATTATTTTTCTCGGGCTTCTTCTGCACTTCTGATCTTCATTCTCCGTTCTCCGTTCATTTTTCCGGTTGACCTGGGTCTACTGTCGCGCGCAACAGACACCGGCGAAAATTCACCGATACGAGTTTCTCTTCTCCCGTGGCAGACGGTGGCATTGATTTCCTCCTCCCGTCCTCTCGCGCCGGCCGTTCGCCCTTCCCTTCCCTACGTACGCACGATCGTAATCTCTCGTCCCTTAAAATTCAACTAAAATTTTATCAAATTCTTCGAAATTGAGGAGAAAAGTCTAACGATAACGATCGAGAAGAGGATAAAAAAAAGTGGATCTCGTGAAAATAAGTTGACAGATCTCGTTATTTTTCCCGTTCTCGAATATTTGCTTTTAAAGAGCGCCCCCTCCCGATGTGTGTGTATCGCTGCACGAGCCACTCCTGCGGAGATTTGAGGAACGTTTGTTTGCACGATTCGAGAAGGATTCCTCGATTCTCGGTTTGTGGCGTGGTCGGGACGAAAAGCGCGCAAGCGGAGGAACGAGTTTCTCGAGCCACGCTCGAGCGTAATTTCACGCGAAACTCTCGCAACCTTGAACGCTGCTGGAACGCTCGATTCGACATCGTTCAGGGGCGTCGAAACGCGGCCAAAGCTTTTAACAATACGATCACGAATGCGTGCTCCGTGTCTCTCGTTCCTCCTCGAAACATCGAATTTTATCCTGAGGAATCGAATCGTTCGTTTCCTCGGCTTCGAAACAGGATCTCTTTCGTTCTTTGGCAAGGTTACGGTATATTCGTATCGTACCTCGAAGGAGCGGTGTACTATTGAGATATCTCTATTTATAAACAGGCCACCGTTTATTTACACTTTAGAAATTGTGGTTATTTCCCTGTTCACGCACACGCTTATGTTTATCAGTGTAGTGTAAAAGCAAGAATGTTTCGCTTCGAACGACCGTTGAAATAGAAGAGGTTGAATTCTTTGTGTGAAATTATTAAATCGTTCCAAAATTCGGAGTAAGTATAATTTTACGCGAAAATAAAAGTTAGATTATTTCGAGAGTTATTTTTTTTTTTTAATGGGTGTGGTGTTTGGAAACTATTTGGCTTAAATAAGTTGCTTTATTTATTTTTTATCGCTTTTAAGAGATTCAGTCTTGTATCTGTAATAATTTTTCTCTTTTGAGATATAAAAAAAAAGTAGAAAAGAAATTTCCAGATATTTACATCCTTCTTATGTTTCGGATTTATCCTGATTATTATTATTTTTATTTTTAAAAGATATTTTCTACGTATTATTTTTACTTTTGAAAAATATGCGACATTTAGTTCCATAAATGGAAAATACTACTACATCGATCAATATTTTGCAAGTAAGTAAAAAATAGAATTGACGAGGACTTTCAAAAGACTTAATACGTTAGAATGTCGTTGTAAATATCAAACATGCTAATTTAAATATTCCTGATAATCGATCATTCGAATGACTAAACTTCGAACAATCGATATTGAAATAATCAAAGTTCTAATACTAGTTGATCACGAATTTTCCTTTATTTTCAAGGGGAAGGCCCATTCGATCACGTACTCGAGATAACAAATATCGTTCGATACATTTATTCGATCCGATAGACATTATCGTTCACAAGTGTTTAAAACACTTTATCGAATCTTCATCGATTTTTGAATTAATTTTCTTCGTAAATTTCCTGTAAATAACAAAATTTTAAAATAAAATTACCTTTGAATATCGATATAAAAATACGAAGAATACAAATGGTTCAATCCTTAAAAAAATGATTTTACCATTTTATCTTTTTCCACAAAGTTACAGTAATTCAAAGCTTAACGTACAGACCAACGATAAATAATAACAAATAACAACTCTCTCTCTCTCTCTCTTTCTCTTTCTCTTCCTCTATCTTTGTTAAAGATAACAGTGTTCGATAATTTCAAATTATAATAGTTGACAACGGAAGACTGAAAGAACGCGAAAGCAAAAGGATTGGACAATTTTAAAAATTATTTCACCTCTGAATTATTCCTCGCAGAAGTTACAATAATTCAAAGATCGATAACGATTCGATGAGGTGTTCAAACGTTTACGAACGTTTCGTTTCAACTCGACAGAAAATTCCGCGTAGTTCGGATAATACGTGTCCACTCTTATCGCTGCCCAGGTTACGAACGCGAGCCTGGAAATCGAGAATCGTCGACCTCGAACGGCCATGCTTTCATACAGTATTAGTCACACGTAGCCGACCGATGAATATTTCAACGTTACACACCGTGCACACACCGTGCAACACACGCATTCCGCGTGTGTTCGTTTCGAGCATTGTGCCACCTCTAATCGTTCCGATCGACCTCTTTTCTCGATCGAAAAGCATCGATAGGACCAAAGATGATGTCGAAAGGTGAATACTTTTCTTCTTCGATCTGTTGTCGCGTCTGTCGAAGGGGACGGAGATGGGGGAGTCGCCTCGAACCATTGTCCCAGTTGCCGTGGAATGGCTTCTGTTGCTATTTAAAGACGTCGTGTCGCGATATGATACTAGAAATAGGAAATTTAAAATTGTTTTTTCTTAGGAAGAATTTTTTGAAGAAACGATATTTATTATTCGCACCGGGCGACGATTACCGAATGTTAGCATTGCAAATGCGGTTGACGAGTGTGTCTTATCTTACGGAATTACCTTAGGCAAACGTGTGCAACGCAAGTACAACTTGTTTATCGGAGAGGGAATTGTTGACTTGTTCCGTAGATTGAATAACGTTGTCACTTCTCAGTCGGATGCGCGAGAATGGCTTAATCGAGGAATTAACGAGCAAATGTATTTCGATCGAACCATACATTGATAAATACGAGAAAAGTTTCGTCTTCGTTATTCTCGCGTCTTTTGAGAAAAATAATATTTCGACTTTTAAATATCGATCTTTCGGTACGTAGCTTCGAGCAAAGAAACGTAAAAGAAAGAAAATCACGAACGACGGCCGTGTCCTCGGGATCCTATCCTCTGAATTCACGACTCGGTTTCGATACTGCACGTGCTGAAAACGTAGCCCCGCTCGGGTAGGTGGCAAGGGTGTAGCCGGTCGAGTCTTGGCCCGATGCATTCGCGATTCTTCCGTTCCTGCTCCCTCCGCCATCGTCCTTCGCCAACGTTTTCAACCCGTATTCGTGACTCGTGCTCCAACCATAGAAACGAGACGATCAACTTTCTTCCTCCTCTCCCTCTCCCTCTCCCTCTCCCTCTCTACCGGCTTTGGCCGTTCGTGGTTCGTGGTCACGATGGCAAATTTTCTTCGAAAACAAGCAAGGGAAAGGTATTAATCGTTTTTCAAAGAAAGAAGAAGCATCGTGGATTTCGACGAAGAAAAATTCAATTCTTGTCTAGTTTAATTTTCCTCGAGACGTAAGATATCGATTTTTCTCATAGATTCGACCCTTGTTTACGAAATTTCTAGAAGAAAATAATATCGTATTCTTATTTATCGAAACGGTTCGTCGAAAAGAAAGATAGCAATTTCGAACGAATGGAATCGAAATGAGAACAGGTGGTAATCCGGCAAACCCAAAGTTCGAAATAAATGGTTAAATCGAACGAGTCGAGAGCCCTCCACCCTCTCTCTCTCTCTCTCTCTCTCTCTCTCTCTCTCTCTCTATCTCTCTCTCTTTGATCGTTTATCGTCTATCGCCGTAAATTTTTCTGAGGATAGCCAGGACGGATGAAAGTACCGGACAGCAGGATAGTGGTGAATTATCGGAGTGGGCAGCCGGTATCGATAGATTGAATATGAATTATTGGCTCCTTCGAAAGCGCACGAGAGAACGTCCCCGACCGATCCAGCCACTTTCGCGTCGCGGACCATCACCTGGAGCGCACTCCAACGCTATCCAGACCCTCCTCGCCGAGTCAGCTATTGCCGGGCAATCGATTGATTTTTCTTTCGAGATATCTCACGATGACGAACGTTTCGAACGTTGGAGAGTGGATGAATTTTGGATCGCCGTTTCAAAGCGTGTTTCTTTTGAAAGGATAATCGAGTTAATTATTGGAAGAATTGGAAGAATGGCGAACAATGTGTCAAGACTTGGTTAATTTGATTCGGGCCTCTTGTATAATAATTCAATGGCTATTAATATTGAGGTGACGAGAGAGTGATAAATTAGAAGTTGTCCTGTCGAAAAACATATCCTGACAACATAAATCGAATGATACGTTAAATTAAAAGTGATATAAAATTAACGTAAAATTGGCAAACATTATATATACGATTTCGTTAAGAGTAATAGCATGTCCGTGATCTTTGTGCAAGAATCCGATAATTTGTCACAGGATTTTTCGTCGTATTGTTAAAGAGAGAGTGATAAATTAGAAGTTGTCTTGTCGAAGAACAGACATAAATCGAAAGATACGTTAAATTAAAAGTGACGTAAAATTAACGTAAAATTGGCAACGATCGTCGAACATTATAACGATTTCATTAAGAATATAATTTCGCGTGTTCTGCGAACTTTTCTTCGAAAATCTGATAACTTGATTCTTCATCGTATCGTTAAAAAATTTTATACCCCTTTTACTCTTCCTCGATACCTTCCTCCTCCTCGTCAACGACAAGGACATCAAAATCGTAACACCGTGAAAGTGGTCGTGAAACAGGTCGACGAACCAAACAACCAGACAAACATTATCGATCGAATCGAGAAAGAGAGATGCAATTTGCGAACGCGCGTAGAAACATTGCCATTCCCGTGAACACTCCTCTCCCTCCCTTACCTTTCATAGGAGGCTAAGAGGCTCGAGAGTCGTTCGGATAAATATCCTAATCGCGGAAGTCGTGGTCGCGTCGTAAAGAAAAAT